GAGGACTGTGTGTATAATCTTTTTTAGTTAAGTCTTAATTGTTGTTGGTATCACTGGGAGGAACTGACCTCCAGGCCAACTGGCTGTGAGGATCAGCTGTGTCTATGCCAGGAGACAGCCTTACTCAAAAGCCTCTGTGCTCAGCTTGGATGGAGTGGAGTTTCAGGGTGGAGCCTACAGCCTTGGCTTCCTGTCAGCCCTGCCCTATGAGTTTCAGTGTTCCTCAGTGTCCTTTGGTACTCACTGCAAGCACCTCTGACAGAAAGGTGCCCTCGAGTTTCACCCACTACCGGACAGTCTAGTCTCTCCCACAATGAGCCTGGAACTGGGGTTCAGTGCAGTTGGAAGTGGGGTTCAGTGCAGTTCTGAGCTTTTGTCTCCTTCCTGCTAGGGCAATCCAGCAGCACAGTCAACAATCAGTCCTCTGCACGCAATGTGCACGACTCCGAGGCTCTGCCTTTCGCCGCTCTCCTAATTTCCACCTTACAGCCTAGAATCCCTCTGTATGAGCCTGGGACCCCACGGTCTCGCCCAGAACTGGGATTCAGCACAGTCCGGAGCTTTTATCTCCTTCCCGCTAGGGAACGCCAACCAGGCACTCAGCCGCCCCTCCTCTCTGGCTCCGTCCTCTCCCTACGTGTGCACCATGTCTCCGTACCTTAGGCTTTTACAGCTCCTCTGATTTTCCTTCTGGTTTTCTCTTTCCTTCTAGCTGTAGAATTTCCAGTCAGTCAACTTTCCTGTAGTTCTGGGTAATGTTCACTTTATATTTTAGTTGTATTTTTTGAAATTGTTGTGTGAGGCTGCAGTTGGGCATTTGCCTCTGCAGCCATCTTAGTTTCCTCCCGAACAGGTCAACACCCAATTGCCTAGCTACACTGGCCAGGCTGATCAATGTCACATCTCACATTGATGTTTCTTTCTCTCCCTCTCCCTTCCTCTCTTCCTAAAAATCAGTAAAAAAATATATATATATAAAAAAAGAATGCATAATATAATCTCAGTGTTGTAAGATATTTCTGTTTACGTGTTCACTAAAAAATGGAGTAGCTTTGATGTGCTAGTTGTTGAGGTTACAGCACTGAGCAAGACAGACAGGCAGTCTATTTCCATAGAATTTACATTCCAGTGGGAAGTTGGACAATAAACAAACAATATTACACACCCCCCCCCCCCCAATAAACAACTCTAGGAAGCTATGATAAATAGAAGGAAGAGCAATAAACGAGGAGGAAAATAGTGAGGGAGCACAGAAGGTGTGTGACTTTAGATAGGCTGGTCCCTGAAGGCCTTTCTTAGGTGGTATATTTGATCTAACCAATCAGGAGGAAAAGCCTCAGGAACCATCGTGCTGTTGGTGATGCCAATCAGAGTTCTATGGCAGTGCTAGCAATCGATTCCAGCTTCTCCTGCACCCTGACTTGACCACCACCATTCCACTGCTTATGCAATTGGAAGAGCAATTGTAACACCTCTTTGGAATGGTCAGTGAATAAATGGCCAAGCTCCATTTTGAGCTCCATTTAAGTAGAAAACTGATTGGCATCAAGGACCAGGGCCCATAGGTTTGTGCAATTCACCAGAGACACGCCAGCCTCTGATCATGCCTTCCAGGCCACACTTTTGGATAGACCCATGGGACAGACCGTGATGGTGACATGTAGCATTAACAAGAGGGAAAAGTCAAAGAGAGCCTTACTGCTTACTAAATTGAGACCCCCTCTTCCCATGACCTATTTACATTTGTGTTCCATCTAATCCTTTTGGTCAAACAATAACTTGCCTCTTATTTAAATGATACATTTTGGGAGAGCTACTTTTCCCTTCAGCAAAGAGAAAATGTCAGCCTACAAGACCTGTGGGTAAACGGTTCAATATTAAGATTGAGACCAAGTCTTTCTTTCCTTCCTTCCTTCCTTCCTTCCTTCCTTCCTTCCTTCCTTCCTTCCTTCCTTCCTTCCTTCCTTCCTTCCTGTCATTGTTTAAATAAATAAGAATACCAATTTTCAGAATTGTTTCACACCAAGGTTTTAATTCCCACCGGCAAACAGCCCTGGACTCTTCTGTGAACTTGGTGGCCCTGTGTCAAACTGTTTATTACCAGATGTCTATAAACATCCAAATGAGTATCTTCCCCTGTGTGTTCTCTATTTCAATTGCTGACACCATACCCACCAAACTAGAAATGTAAGGCTCCTTCATTTACCTAATCCTGCACTCCCTCAGCCCTGCTAATTTATTTTCTTCCCAAATCTCCCCTTGTCTCCCAAATAAAGCCCCATTTTATTAACATACTCATAAGCTCCCTGGCTCCCTTCTACAGTAGCTTTCTGACTCCATTCCCCAAACATAATTCTCTCGTACCGAGTTGTTTATGGCTCACAACATACTGTCCTTCGGCCTGTATGTGCACTGACTGACCTTGCAAGACTCAGCTCCATTGTCACCCTTCACAAAGCTTTTCTCAAACCCCATGTCATGCTAACTTCCCATCTTTTGAGTTTCCATAGCAGCACTGTACACACACCCTTTAAATCTGAAACACAAATGAGGTACCATTTCACACCTGTCAGAATGGCTATGTGCACTGTTGAGAATGCAGACTGGTGCAACCACTGTGGAAAACAGTATGGAGTTTCCTCAAAACATTAAAAATGGAACTCCCATTTGACCCATCTCACTTCTATGAATACATGCCAAGAAATCAGAAACACCCATCAGAAAGGATATATGCACCGCTATGTTCACAGAAGCACAATTTACAATAGCTAGGATTTGGAAACAGCCTAATTGACCCTCAGCAAGAGTAGATTAGAAAACTGTGATACATCTACACAATGGTATACCACGCTGCTATAAAGAAGAAAGAACTCTTACTATTTGCAGCAGCCTGGATGGACGTGGAGTGCACTGTACTAAGCGAACTAAGCCGGTCAGTGAAAGAAAAATACCATATGATCTCACTCATTTGTGCAATATAATGAACAACATAAACTGATGAACAAAAATAGATTCAGAGACATAGAAGCATCAACAGATTGTCCAACTTCAGAGGAAAGGCAGGGGAGGGTAGAAGGGTTAAGAGATCAACCAAAGGACTTGTATGAACCCATATAAGCATAACCCATGGGCACAGAGAGTAGGGTGGGAAGGGAATGTACTAGGGGTCCAAACGGCTGGGGAGAAGTCAATTAGGGGGGGAAAGGAGGCATGGGGCCAAGAGCGGCCCTAACAGGGCCCTCCCTGAGCTGTAATACTTTAAACAATAAAGAATTAAAAATACCTGAGACACAGTATTTAATATTGCTTTGCACACTGTCTCCCTCATTGGACTGTGTATTCGAATAGCAGTGGCCTGGCAATCATCTTCAAGGTGACTGTGTCAAGTACATGCTCGGTGTTTGTTCAACTTTAACGAGCTGGAATTATTGCTTGGCTCCTCCGTTTTCTTAACTCTTTAATCGATATCACATATGTTTCTCAGGGCTTTTGAGTCAATGAAATCTGTGAAAAGTCTTCTATTACCTATTATGTGCTAGCAAATGTGAAGTTAGGATCTTACTTGTGGGAGAGAAACTTAAATCTTTTACACAAATATATTAAAAGGTAATAAAGAAGTTAGCAAAAACCAATAAACACTGTAAAAAGGTATCATAGAAAAGAATAGAGCAAATAGTCATATTATATGGATCATGACTATATACTATCAATGAGGATGTTAGGCAAATAAAGACTTCTAGCTTGTGACAAAATTCCCAATGACCACCAGATTAGGGCTTTAAGACACCTCCATCTCTCAGATCACTCAGGGAAAGGCAACACATCCTCGGTGCAGCTGTGCTGGTCACTCAGTGACTCCAGTCTAACGCAGACACTCTTGTCATGGATGCATGTACCAACCAAGAACAACTTTCTAAATTAACATATTTCAACAGGTCTTGTATTACTTTTAATAGATATCCTATATAATAGAAGCCTAATATGCTAAGTGTCCAGTCGTCGGATCAACCAATCAACCAATATGCTAATGATATACTAAGGCTGCTCAACCGCTCGCTATGATGTGCACTGACCACCAGGGGGCAGATGCTCAATGCAGGAGCTGCCCTGATGATCAGTGCGCTCCTACAGGGTAGCACCGCGGTGGTGGGAGTCTCACCTGCCTCCACAACAGCGCTAAGGATGTCTGACTGATGGCTCAGGCCTGCTCCCCATTGGAGCCGTCAATCAGACATCCCCTGAGGGCTCCTGAACGTGAGAGGGCACAGGCCAGGCTGAGGGATCTCCCCCCTCCTCCCCAAGTGCTCAAATTTCATGCACTGGGCCTCTAATGTAGTAATAAAGCTAAATGGCATAAGAATATACTGCATGTTAATATAGTAAGTTAACTGCAATTTACTCTTACTATGCAAACATCACTGACTATTCTATTTGTAAAATTATCTTAATAAGATGAGAAAAAAATAACATACCAACCATAATGTATCAAAATATATATTTATTTATTTATTTATTTTTAAAATATATTTTATTGATTTTTTTTTTTTTTTTTTTTTTTTTTACAGAGAGGAAGTGAGAGGGATAGAGAGCCAGAAACATCAATGAGAGAGAAACATCGATCAGCTGCCTCCTGCACACTCCCTACTGCGTATGTGCCCCAACTAAGGTACGTGCTCTTGATCAGAATTGAACCTGGGACCCTTGAGTTTGCAGGCCGACTCTCTATCCACCGAGCCAAACTAGTCAGGACTGTATTTTTTATTTTGAGAGTACATTTATTAAAACTGGGGACACTGAAACAAGGAAGGGCTTAGACTAGAAGAAGCAACAGGAGAGGGACTAGGCGGGGCTGCTTTGCCTCATTGAAAAGTCAAGATCTAGGAGACAGGGTCAGGGGATGGCCTGGGACTAGCTACCGCTACCCTGGTTCCCCTGGCTAAAAGTCTCACGGGGACCCTTAGAACTCAGGGAGAAAAAGCCACCCAAGAAAGAAAGGGACAAGAAAGGTGTGGGCATGCTCCCAGGAGGGAGAGAATGCAAAATAAATATTTATTAACATTTGAAGCTTTATATACACTCTTAAAAGCAAATGTACAAAGGGAGGAATTACAAAAATTAACCTCAATATATAAATGAACAGTAAAGATCAGTAGGGCCATCACCATCAGAATAAAAAGTCTGTCTAAAAGAATACAAATAATTACTTTAAATGCCATTCAGATACTTTCCTTAAAGTTACAATTCCAAAGAATACTAGGAGGCAAAATATATCCAGAACACCGTGTTTTCACCTTACCCTAACTTATTAAATATACAAATATGTTTCCGTCTTTTTGTCCAGCAAGCAAATGAGAATCTGTACCTGACCATTTAACGAAAGACCAGTTCTGGTCAGAGATGGGTGGAAGAAGAGCAGTGCAATGTCCAAGAAGTAAGTCCCAAATGGCAATTGTTCCAGAAGTCAACACTGCTGCTGCGAAATTATCCTTCACATCACCTTCCAGGAACCTAACATCAAACAGAGAAGAAATTATTCAAACCATATTATATACTACAGGCCTGGCGCATGAAATCCATTCATGGGTAGAGTCCCTAGGCTGGCTGGTGATCAGGACCCATCTGTGGGATCTGTGCTGGGTGATCGGGGGACCCCCGCTGGCACCCGCCTTGGCCGGCCTGGCACAGCCCACTTGCTGGCCCTGCCCCCTGCTGCCAGACATCTCCTTCTGACGAGCAATTGGGGAGTGATTAGGGGGCCCCAGCTGGCAATTGCTTTGGTTGGCCTGGGGCCTTTAGGCAGCTCCTGCATTGAGCGTCTGCTGCCTGGTGGTCAGTGTGCATAATAGTGACCAGTTGTTCCACTGTTCGGTCAATTGGGTTGTATTATATATGACTAGAGGCCCTGTGCACGGGAAGGGGTGTCCCTCAACCCAGCCTGCACCCTCTCCAATCTGGGACATCCCTCTCACAATCCAGGACTGCTGGCTCCCAACAACTCACCTGCCTGCTTTCCTGATTACTCCTAACTGCTTTTGCCTGCCAGCCTGATCACCACCTAAGCACTCTCCTGCCAGCCTGATTGCCCCTAACTGCCCTCCACTGAAGGCCTGGTCCCCCCCAAACTGCTCTCGCCTACAGGCCTGCCTGCCCCCCCTCCCAACTGCCCTTCCCTGCAGGCCTGGTCCCGCTCTCCCCCAACTGCTCTCCCCTGTAGGCCTGGGTCCCCCCCAACTGCCCTTCCCTGCAGGCCTGGTCCCGCTCTCCCCCAACTGCTCTCCCCTGTAGGCCTGGGTCCCCCACAACTGCCCTTCCCTGCAGGCCTGGTCGCCCCCAACTTCCCTCCTCTGCTGGCCTGGTCACCCCTAACTGCCCTCCCCTTCAGGCTTGATAGCTTCCAACTGCCCTCCCTTGCAGACCTTGCCCTCCCCTGCTGGCCATCTTGTGGCTGTCTTCTTATGTCCACATGGGGGCAGCCATCTTGTGTGTTGGAGTGATTGTCAATTTGCATAGTACTTTTTTTATTAGATAGGATAGAAGCTTGGTGCACAGGTGGGGGGTGGCTGGTTTACCCTGAAGAGTGTCCCAGATCAGGGTGGGGGTTCCCTTGGGGCATGGGGTGGCCTGTGCAAGGGAGCCATGGTGGTTTGCAGACCAGCCACGCCCTCCAGTGACCCAAGCAGAGGACCTGGTATCTGGGATTTATCTATCTTCTATAATTGAAACTTTGTAGCTTTGAACAGAGCCAAGCCTCCTGCTCGCTCCATGGCAGCAGCCATTTATGTTGGGATTTATTTATCTTCTATAACTGAAACTTTGTAGCGTTGAGTGGAGGCCAAGGCAGGCCAGAAAGCTTGGCTTCCTCCATTGCTAGGGAAATCCAAGCCTCCTGCTCACTCCATGGCTGCAGCCATCTTGGTTGGGTTAATTTGCATACTCGATCCTGATTGGCTAGAGGGCATGGCTTGTGGGTATAGCAGGGGCACAGTCAATTTGTGTATTACTCTTTTATTAGATAGGATATTTATATATACGTATTTTAAAGAGGTGAAAACCATCCTCTCCAAAGCAACATGAACAAAAATACGTGGAAATAGGGATGCTTCTCTTTGCAGTTCGGTACATAAACACCTGTGCAGTCCCTGCCTATCTCTTGATGCATCTTACACCCCCTGCACCCTAGCTCACCGTGGCCAAATTCAGTCTCCTCAGTATCTTTGGACTTGCTATTCTCTCCCCTTGGCAGGTTCTAAGCCTAGTCCTTAGCATGACTGGGCTTTTGTTATTACTCAGGCTGTTGTTTCTGCAGAAAGATCATACCTAATTCGTCTATTCACCCACACTGTATCACATGACCTGTTCCTATCTTCAAAGCACTTGTCACAATGTGAGAGCATCCTATTTCCACATTTGGTGGGTATCTTTGCCACAAGAGTATAATCATAAGGCAGAAGTCCGGTTGCCTTTTTAAGATGGGGCTCTACAGTCAGCTACCTGGCTTTGAATTCTAACTAAGCAAGAGATGTGTGACTCTGGGCAAATTATTTAACTTCATCAGTAAAATGGAGACATGGTGATTATTGTGAGGTTTCATGAAATAGTTGACAACATAGTCCTAGCCCTTAGGAAGTGCCTAATGAAAATGCATGTTGTCTCACTGCCATATCACCAGCACCATGCAGAGTGCCACCCATAAACAGACCTTCTCACAGTCAATAGTTCATACGAGCCCTGGTCAGTGTGGCTCAGCTGGTTGTGTACTGTCCCACGCACTGAAAGATTGCGGGTTCAATTCCTGGGCTGTGGGCTTGATCCCCAGTGAGGGGTGTACAGGAGGCAGCTGGTTGATGTTTCTCTCTCTGTCCTTCCCCATCTCTCAAAAAACCCTCCACAAAAAACAAAACAAAACAAAAAAACAACCAACCAAACAAAAAAAAACCTTAAAAAAAACCTAAATATTTATTAATCCTATAAAATAAAAGGTTAATATGCAAATTGACCAACAGCAGAACGACGGGCCACTATGACACACACTGACCACCAGGGGGCAGATGCTCAATGCAGGAACTGCCCCCTGGTGGTCAGTGTGCTCCTACAGGGGGAGAGCCACTCAGCCAGAAGCCCTGACTGAGCAGGTGAGTGCAGTGGAGGTGGCAGGAGGGCTGCTAGAGGGCACAGGATGGGCAGAGGGACCCCCCCCCCCAAGTGCAAGAATTTCATGCACCGGGCCTCTAATAGATCAATATTAGGTGGAGGCTCAAATTTTGAAGTAAAGATGTTTTCCTAAAGTACATTTAAAACTTTTTTCAATGGAAAGAACATAAATTATAAATCTCCTGTAGAGAATATTAATTACTCTGTATTTAAAATGTTTTCATTATGGGATAAAACAGGGCATAAATACACATAAAATACTTATCCAATGCCATCCTAGTGGTATCAGTATACAGGGAACCTGACTCAGGCTTGATTCAAAAATTGATTTATAGGGAGAGGATGGAAGGAGATGGGCAGGGGAGGTGGTGGAGTGGGAAGAGAGAAACAATAATGTGATAGAAAAACCTCAATCTTGATTTCTGCATGCGCCCTGACTGGGGATTGAATCCAATACTTGAGTATGTGCCCTGACTGGGAATTGAACCCGCCAAGGCTGAACACTATACCCGCCAAGGCTGAACACTATATACTTTTTCCTTCCTTCCTTCCTTCCTTCCTTCCTTCCTTCCTTCCTTCCTTCCTTCCTTCCTTCCCTCCCTCCCTCTCTTCCTCCCTCCCTCCCTCCCTCCCTTCTTTCTTTCCTTCTTTCCTTCTTTCTTTCATAATATATTTTATTGATTTTTTACAGAGAGGAAGGGAAAGGGCTAGAGAGTTAGAAACATCGATGAGAGAGAAACATAGATCAGCCGCCTCCTGCACACCCCCTACTGGGGATGTGCCTGCAACCAAGGTACATGCCCCTGACCGGAACCGAACCCGGGACCTTTCAATCCACAGGCTGACACTATCCACTAAGCCAAACCAGTTTCGGCAAACACTATACTTCTTAACATTCTTTATTTTGACCTATGTATAGTGTTTCATGTTTCCATTCATCTAAATGACACAAAAACATTTGGTTTCTATGTGCACAGGTGCCTTTCAAAGATCACACTCACTGCCCAGCAGTCACACACTTGCCTTCCAGCCTGCCCTTGAGGAAGACAGTAGAGCATCACACCCACGCTCAGGGCAGTCTTGGGGTTGATCGCAATGAGCTGGAACACGGGGCTTCCCGACGGCTCCCTCTCTTTGGCACAAGGATGACTCAGAACAACAAAAAGGAGTCCCTGATTTAGAAGAAAAATTAATAACCAAAGAAATCATTAGGACTATGGTGAGAAAAGGCAAGAGTTGGCAGAGACAAAATGAAAGACTCACAGGAAAGACCAACAGACTTGTCAGGCCCCCAGCCATTCCCGTATCTGCAGGCGTGAATCGGGCTAAAGCAGCAGCCCTCCACCTTACACGTGGCTAGCACCCCAGGCCTCCCCTGTGAGGAAACGCCGACTCAGAGAAAGAGGGCAAGTAAACACATGATGGGAGACCTCAAACTGGAAACACTCATTTGTCAATTGGGTTTTGAACATTCGGAACACATTTTCCCATAAATACAATCATAAATGGCAACTAGAGTTTAAGCCAGTTGATTCTTTTCCCATGGTCGTTTCTGTGGGAAAATGTGTCACAAACCTCTCCCAGCTTTAAAATTACATCTTTTTTTTAATCCCCACCCAAGGATATGTTTTCACTGACTTGAGAGAGAGAGGAAGGGAGGATGAGAGGAAGGGAGAGAGGACGGGAGGGAGGAAGAGAAATCCTGATCGGGAATTGAAATAGCAACGTTCGGTATATGGGATGATGCTCCAATAAACTGGGCCTGCCAAAAATTACATGTTCTCATAAACATTGTGTGTGGAGATACTTGTCACACACATATGTATACATGTCTGTATGTATGCTACATGTTTAAAATAATTATCTTTGGGGATAAATAGGGAAAATTAATCATTGGGCCTTCTTAGGATTAATTACACTCATTTCTGCCTTATACATTCCCAGAATGACTGCCTTAAATTTTTTTAAAAGTTGATTTTAAATAGAGGAAGGGAGAGAAACATCACTGTGAGAGAGAATCATTGATCAGTTGCCTTCTGCACACTCCCCAACTAGAAATCAAACCTGCAACCTGGTTATGTGCCCTGACTGGGAATCAAACCTACGACCTTTTATTGTGTAGAATGACATTCCAGCCAACTGAGCCACCTGGCCAGGGCCAGAATAACCATTTTTATTATGAGAATGCATTACCTTTATAATTAGAAAATAACTGAGTTAAAAAATGTTAAATGCCATACACTTAACTAGGAGTAGGCAAACTATGGCTCATAGGTAAAATCTGGCTCAAAGCGTAAGGGGAAGTTTTATTGGAATGTACCACACCCATTTCTTACATTATCTCTGGGTGATTTTGTGCGATAGGGGCAGAGCAGGTAGCTACAGCAGAGACCACGTGGCCTGCAAAGTTGAAAACATTTACTGTCTGTCCCTTTACAGAAATGTTTGCCAATTCCTGCCCTCAAGTATAATTTATTATTTATAATAAAATAGGAACTCTTACTATTTTTTTCCATTTCTGTTCTCAATGTTTTAAAAGGAAGTACCTAGGTATTAATGTTGTAATACCAAAGATAAGCACTTAATAGTTAATTTAATAATTCCACAGACGAATTCGACCCTTTTATTTTAGGATGAATAATAAGCCTCAACACTATGTGACAGATGACCTAAGACCACAAAGCTGTTTCACTCATGTCCACAGATGCTGCTGGGCTCGGAGAGATGCACCCTTTGCGTCCAGAGCCTTCCATGCTGAGGCCCGCAGGGGTTCCCATGGGGCCGGGCGAGGGAGTCTCCATTCTGCACCGAGCTGGCTGCTTCTGCCTCTGCTTGTGGCTCAACAGCGCAAACATGCATGAGCAGTTACTCCTGACCTGGGACAACTACCTCCAACCCGATCAGATGCCAAAACCACAATGACTAAGAGGCTGTGGTTCATTTCTATGCAAGAACACTAAAGTCTAAGAGGAAAGCATGTCTGTGATATTCATTCACATCATAAAGCGTTTATGGCAAAGTGGTTGGGAGCCAATTCTGTTAATAGGATATTATTTCTCGGTATAAATTCACAGCCAAAAATTAATGTTTGCCCTTAAGTCATACAGCCAGAAAATTCACCAACCAATCATACCGTACCAACACATATTTTCATCCAATTCAAGAAAGAACAAACACTGCTATCCAATTTTGAAAAAAATAGGTAACAAGGAGGGCCAGTTAATTACTACTAAATTATTGCTGTCACTCAGGAATACCAAGGGTAACACTCAGAATGGACATGGAATGGGCCCGGCTGATTGGCACTTACCATTTCAGAATAGGCTTTGTGACAGACGGAGGCTTGGTAGGAGTCACCAATGTGCATCTTTTTCAGGAGCTGACCAGTTTTTAAATTCCTTAGACACCAAAAATAGAGAAGCTGGTAACAATCTTCCAGGAAACTGGTTTTCACATCATACTTAATTATCACCAAGTCCTTTTGGAGGGGACCAAGAACAAACTAAAGGACATAGTACCTTTGTTTTGTTTGGTCACAGCCTGAGCTAAAAATAGCACTATAGTTTAATTTGGTCAGTGGTTTTTTGTTTTTGTTAATCCACTGCCAAGAATATTTTTCCCATTGATTTTTTAGAGAGAGTGGAAGGGAGTGAAAGTGGGAGGGAATGAGAGAGAGAGAGAGAGAAAGAGAGAGAGAGAGAGAGAGAGAGAGAGAGAGAGAGAGAGAGAGAGAGAGAGAAACATTGACATGAGAAAAAAAAAATCAATTGGTTGTCTCCCACACAGGTCCAGACCCAGGCCAGGGATTGAACCTGCAACCCAGGTACATGCTCTTGATAGGGAATTGAACCTGTGACCTGTGTGCAGGCTGTCATTATAATCACTTAGCCACACCTGCCAGGGCTGGCTAATAGTTTAATTTGATAGTTTAGCTCTCTGCTATGCCATTATGGAGAAATCTCTCCAAATTCCAGGAGAAAGGGTTTCAATTATCTCATTTTACTTGGTATTAAAATTACATGGTATAGCTCTAATCATTATGATTTTGTCACAATTTTTGTTATACCCAAATTTTCCATGGAGGACAATGGTCAGGAAACCAAATCTGGTTAGGCAAGAGATGACACCTGAAAGAGACTTATAATTATGTCTCTATAATATTGTATCCACTTATTCTACAGCCAACTCAAGATAATGGAGAAAGAAGGAAAGACTGAGCTGGGGTGAAAAATGGAAAAAAGGATGAAAGGAGAGGCTAAATGTAAAACAGAAGAAAAAGAAAGCTTGCTGGAACCACTCCCTAGCTTGAGGACTTGACATTAACACTGTCTATCATGTGGCTCTGCCTATGAAACTCTTTCAGTCGGTTCCCATTAACCACGGATAAAGTCATGGTACTCAGTCCTCACGAAGCCAGCCCGTAGCACTGTTACACTGCTCCTGTGCCCAGCTGAACAGCTCACTACCTGTTCAACATGTATGCACGTTCCCAATCTCTGCCTCTGTTCAAGTTATCCCTCCGAATGCCTTCCCATTACTGGCCAACTCCATCCCTGTGTTGACCAACACCCATCGATTTCTTATGGCCCAGATCATGTCCCACCTTCTGCCAGCAGCATGAGCTCAGTTTAGGCTCTCTCACTCCTCCCCGTCTGCACCAGTCCACAGAAGTCTCCTCACCTCCAATTCCATATAGTACTGTCCACATACCTTACTTTCAATGTAATATTCTGTATACTGTATAGGGTAGAATGTAATCATTTGACACATATTTCTGAACTTCTATGGCCCAGGTACTGTATACAAAACTAAAGTCAGGAAGCTAAATTCTCATGCAAGTATGCAAGGTTTTCCTCATACAAGGGACACCAGAGCAGGTGTATCCCTTACAGAGGTTAGTGCATGTTCTGTAGATAGTAATTGCTCTCTCCCCAAATCCCAAAGCACTCTGTCCAAATCTCTATTATAGTGGCACTAGGAACGCTGAAGCAATCTTATTTACCTACTAGGTTTTATGGGTCTTGGAGCAGGATTCATATTTACATTCCTCACAGATAAGTAAAAACTCAAATATCTATTAAATAAGTGAAAGATGGTACTCAGTTAATGTAGCTTGACCAAGACTTAATATTGAAACCTTCAGCAGTAGTTTCAAAACAAGCCACTTGAGCCCTGGCTGGTGTGGCTCAGTTGGCTGGGAGTCATCCTCTGCACCAAAAGGTTGCTAGTTTAATTCCTGCTCAGGGAACATGCCTGTATTGTGGGTCCTCATCCCCAGTAGGGGTGTGTTCTGCATGTTTCTCTCTCACATCGATGTTTTTCTCTTTCTCTTTCTCTCCCTCCCTCTCCTTTCTTCTCTCTCTAAAGTCAATAAAAACAGAAAAAAATATTTAAAAACACACCACTTGAACCTGGAGTATAATATGAATTGCTTTAGGCATCCAACAAATAAGGAGTCCCCACAGGAAAGGTAAACAACTACTATATGTACAAGTATAGAGTGTCCCCCAAAAGATACATACATACTTTGAATAGTTATAAGGCAGTGTTTATTAAAATATATTTGTTTTCAAAATTGAGCTCAGCTGTTAAAGTGTATATACATTTTTAAAAAAATATATTTTTATTGATTTCAGAGAGGAAGGGAGAGTGAGAGAAAAATATTGTAGAAACATCAATGATGAGAGAGAATTACCGACCAGCTGCCTCCTGCATGCCCCACACTGGGGGACCCAGTCCACAACCCAGACACGTGCCCCTGGCCAGAATTGAACCTGGGACCTTTCAGTCCACAGGCCGACACTCTATCCACTGAGCCAAACTGGCTATGGCAAAGTATATATACATTTTTGAGGGACATCTTATAGTTATAGAGAGCCCAAAGGTAAAAGATAAATTCTGATAGCGTGAGCCATACATCTTTGAGTAGCTAAGACAGGCACTAAGAACTGATAGGAGACATGGCACTATCTTCAGGGACTTCCACAATACAAAGTAGCACACGCTAAATTAAAAATCAGGGCCCATGAATTCAGACAGTGAAATGCCAACAAGGCCTGAGGTGGTATGACAGAACTCAAGGCAACTGTGGGGGAAGGTACCCCTTAGGACTCAAACTTACTTTTAGTAAAGAGATCCCATCCCAATCCCAAATTCTGTTGTGATCCATTGTATATGAGATGCCAAAAGACAACTATTAGCAAAAAGGGGGACATGAGGGATGGGAAGAAACAAGGGAGCCAAGGTGTATGGGACACTGAAAAGGGAATTTTTGTAGTACAGCCCGGGAAATGGAAGCTGAAGGAAGGCAAATACGGGCTCCACAAAAGGTTTTCTTTCTGGGGCAGAGGGGAGAGGGATGGGAGTAAGAGTGTTTATAAAATAATGGCATCAGAGATGATCTGTGGTTGAATATTTATTGATGGCAATTACTAGATTAAATTAATAGTCTTGGAGCTAAATAATGAAGGTCTGGACTCTAGAAATAGCAGAACGAATAGAAAAGAGAACTTTGTAAAGAACACTGTCCTCAAGTAAGACCTGAGGAAAGTGCTCCAGTGGGAACCTGCTGCTCGAGATGGCAGGACGTGTGAGCACAGGGTCCTGGCAGGTGAGCACGGTCCCATTTCAGGCTCCTGGTGAGGAGGGCAAGGCTTCTCTCAGGACCATGCTTTCCTACTTTACTCCCAGGAGGATAGCAATGGGCAGTGCAGGAGAGTAGGCAATAGTGACATTAATATCATAACTTCTCTTTTCAAGACCCATTCTGGCTCCAAGCAGTTAATGGAAAAGCTTCTGAGAGAGAAAAAAAAAAATCACTATTCTAATATAAATGAACCCTGCAAGTGCTGATGGACAGGCCTGGTTCTCCATGTGGTCAGGAAAGAGAGTGGCTAAGGACTCCTTGACTTTAGTTTCCCTAACACAAAGTTATTCATTTGGGTCCTGTAATGAACCACTTTTTATGTATCTAGTAATTCTGGATTATATTCTAGACATCACAAACGACACTTCACATAAACTCTGGATTCTCTTAGGTTTCCCCGAAGAATATTGATTCTGGCCCCACACCTTACCCCTAGTAACCTGTTAACTTGGCTAACCTCAAAATTCCAGTTGCTGAAAACCTAGTTCAATTCCTTTTGCCTTACCTAGGCTTCCCTGAGTCTGCCCCACATTACATGTTATTTAAAAGGTCAGACATTTAGGCAGAGATTATAGCAAGAGTTAGGGCTCTTCCCTGGCTCTCTACTTTTGGAATTTCTCTGCCTCACTTTCACGATAAACCAGGAGGACAGCAAACTTTGTCTCTAAGGGTCGAATCCCCTTCAGTATCTTTCTTCTTTTTCTCATTCTCCAGTGTCTTCAGTTAATTGATTTTTATATTTATTCCAGAGTTTATAGTTACTTGAAGTAGGAGGGTTGGTCTCTGGTAAAAGCCACTCAAGCATTAACCAGAAGCAGAAACAATCATACATTTTTGCCAATAAGATTTCATTCATTGAGAGTCTACTCAGACTGATACTTTTCACAATGTCTGAATTAATATGATGTTCTTATTAAGTATCTAGCATCTGACAGTAAACAAACAAAAACTATCATACTTACAGCCTCTTATCTCATCTTAATGACCCTGTGAAATAGAGGTATATCCTTATATCACAGAAGAGAAAACTGAGGATCTTGAGGGAAAACTTACCAAATAACAATGTTGTTCATTATAGTGGTACCAAGCAGAGCTTCCTGCGTCCCTTGAACCTCAGCAAAAGTTAGTACAGTCTCTTCAGGAGGCATCAAAAACTGTTTTTCTTCACTTCTGCATTTAAAATAGTATTAAAACTCAGAACTCTGTAGCAAAGCACTTTCTAAGCAGCCCTTCTACATATTATTGAACTCTGTACAATAAACACTAACCCAATACCAGAAAAAAGATCCAATCAGAAAACTTGTATATGCTAAACTTTCTACAACAAACATGCATTACTTGTAATTATCCACCTGGATATACTGCGAGCACTACAAACTCATCATATCCAACTAACTTCACCAGCCCTCTCCTTAAACTTGTGATTCTTTCTGCATTTCTCAGCGAATGGCACCATCACCCAGGAGCCCAGAAACCTGGACATTTTCCTTGTCTCCCTCCTTTCTAGCTCCTCCATCACCAAGTCCTAATGATTTTATCATCTCACCTACCCCAAATCTGTTTCTCCCCGTCTCCACTAATACTTCCCTAATTTAAGCAAATAATTATTTATCTCGTCTAGATTACTGCAGCAGTTTATTATTATTATTATCATAAAAAACAGATTAATAATCACAATAAAGTGACGACAGACACAGAGGAAACTCAGAGGGAACCCCAGATGTCTAATAGAGGCATGCAGGTCTAGAGGTCCAGAAAGGACTCAGAGCTGGAAATGTATGCTCACAAGTAGTCAGCATCTGGACAGTAACTGAAGCCATGGAAACCAAGTGTGTGGAGCAAGAGAAGGGTCTAGAATCTTGAGGTACCTGGAATATTTAAGGGGCACACAGAGATTTCAAAGAAGACAAAAGGAACAGGCAACATTTGCTGAGCCTCTCCACTGCGCTGCTTTCCTCCCTGCACGTCTGCTTCCACCCTCTAACTGCTCTACGCTCCAGTGTTGAGCAGAACCTGCAACACCACGCCCACAGCATAGAAAGACAAGATGCTGGGGATCCAACTTTCTCCGAAACCCTGGGATGAAATCATTCTTTATCTGATGGTTAAGTCAGCTGGTGCTTTTCTCACCCTCCTTCTGCAAATGTCATGACCTCCACTTGCTGATCACAGAGGGTCCTGCTGCTGCTGACTAGCCTCCTCTGTGTCAGGCCAAGCACAGCGTGTATGTTTCCAGTCCTCAGGAGCACCTGCTTTTCACAGCCACCATCAGACGAACAAAGTAACGCCCTAAGCCAAACATAAGAAAAAATGCAGAGAAGTCAGGAGTCTTTTTTTTTTTTTTTAAATAAGTTTTAAAAATTGATTTTACAGAGAAAGGGAGAGGGAGAGAAACATCCACTGGCTGCTTCCCTTTTGTCCTACAGGTTCAACATGAAAGTGGGGCAGAGAAACCCTAAAAGGAGAGAGCCAGAGAAGAGCACTAAACTCTTGCTATAACCTCTGCCTAAATATCTGGCTGACCTTTTAAATGTATGTGGGGCAGGCTCAGGGAAGCCCAGGTTTTGGATCAAGGCCGAAACTGGGGCATGTGTCCTGATCGAGAATTGAACCTACAGCCTTTCAGTGCACAGGACGCTCAACCAACTGAGCCACACCGGCCAGGGCACAAATATCGATAAGTCTTTAATAGTAAAGGACTAGGTTCAAATTTTAAAAGGAAACTTCAGTGCGGGGTCAAGTGAAAGATAAAGGAAAAGAAAACTTCTGGAGAACCACGCACCTGATTTCTCTGATTTCCAAATTCCCCAAGGCCACACACACAAGGTTACACACATCAGGCATGGGAACTATCTGTAACACTGGAACCTAAATAAAATAAGAGCCAAAATAATGTTTGGTTGTTTCATTTTTAATCAATCTAAATTTTCCAAAATTTGTTGCATCAGTTTTTATTCTTACTATACCAGAATAGTTTCCAACATTTGGAAATCTGAGAAGGTTCAGCAAAAATCCTTTTTTATGAGTCGTAAATCCAAATAAGCTGCATACATAACAGTGTTTACTGCAGCGTTTATTAATGCAGCTTATGCTCTTACCAACAGGGGAACAGTTAAGCAAATTCTGGCATTTGAGCCAATAAAACCATTAAAATAAATTTATTCACTGAACAAATATTTATTTATTGAGCACAAGCACAGAACAAGAAGCTGTGGATAGCCGAGACCGGTTTGGCTCAATGGATAGAGCGTCGGCTTGGGGACTGAGGGGTCCCGGGTTCGATTCCGGTCAAGGGCATGTACCTTGGTTGCGGGCATATCCCCAGTAGGGGGTGTGCAAGAGGCAGCTGATCGATGACTTTCATCGATGTTTCTAACTCTCTATCTCTCTCCCTTCCTCTCTGTACAAAATCAGTAAAATATATATTAAAAAAAAAAAAAAAAGAAGCTGTGGATATATACTAGAGAACAAGAATAAAATCTGCTAAGAGAGGAGAATAGATATTCAAGGTTCTCACAAAAAGAAAAAAGAGGTAATTATGCAAAGTGATAGATGTTTTCCTTCACTTAATTGTGTGATTCCTTTCCCAATGTATACACATATCAAATGATCAATGAGTGTACATTAGACATATTACAAGCTTATTTGTCAATTATACCTGAATAAATCTAGAAATAAAAATAAAATTCTACATAGGTAAGTATGAAGGAGAAATGTTTATATGCTAAGTGAGAAAAAGCAGTTTAAAAATTGTAAGCCACTAGGAGCGTACAGGCAGACATGTATGAGGGCGGACAGGACCTGAAGAGAACACAAGGGAACCATGCTTTCATGAAGGGTAAGATCGGTGGGGGTCAGCATGCTTAGAAGTCAGAACAGAAGGAAATGCCAAACTGCTTCATCAGACTGAGATCAAGATCCACCTCTGGAGGAGCATGCGAGAAAGCTAATGCAGCACAATGTGAACTGCAGACTAGACGGCAGGGACTTGGTGCTCACTGCACAACTTTCTGCTGTTTGAATTCTCCTAAGGAGGCTTCTCCCTGTTCTATTTCGCAGTCACAGACCCCGCTCCCTCTTTAGTGAGCTGCCCATCCATTATCATACAAATAATTGCAAGATCTCTTTTAGACTTGGACTCACCTCTGCAAAGTGCCAGGAATACAGTTTTCCCCACTGTCCAGTATCCAGAGGTTTCCAAAGAGAAACTGCATATTCACAAGCAGTTATGATACACGGCTCTTTGACACCAGCTATTTCCCACCACACGGCACTCACATCCACGGAACAGGAACCTGAATGATTCTAACCAGAGTGGCAATAATGTTATGCTAAAGGGATACGTAGGGTCTGTTTTATGAAAAAAATCATTATGAAAAGTGATGCATACAAGGATTAATTAAATACCAAGTAAGTGTAATGAAAGTTTTATACAGGTCAAAATAGAGGTATGGTGGGTCTTACAGGTAACAGAAAAAACTGCCCATACACCTTCATGTAATTTAAAAGTAGAGCTCCAGCCTGGCTGGGTGGTTCACTTGGTTGGAGCCTAGTCCCAACACCTAAAGCTCGCAGGTTGGATCCCAGGTCAGGGCACAGACCTAAGTTACAGGTTCAGTCTCTGGTGGGGGTGCATACAGGAGACAAACAATTGATGTTTCTCTCTCTCTTCCTCTCTCAAAAAACACACAAACAAAAACCTTAAAAAATAAGAAATTAAAGAATAGACTACTCCAGAATAGAATACATTCAAATTTAACCACCAAGATAGCCCATAAGAACTTACCCACTTAGAAATTAAACATCCTGATGAACTCCTCAGGGCTGAAATAACATACTATTTCTACATGAACAGTAAGGAGAGCACTAGGCATCCAAACATGCAGCGTGTGAAAACCAAAATGAAACAAAAAAACCATGCAGTGTGTGGCCAAAGCGAGATTTCTCAAAAAACTGTATAATCAATCATAAATGAATTTATTCAAAAGCAGAAAGATAAAGCAGCTCAAGAAAGTAAAAAAACAATAAAAGGAACACAGAAGGAGTTACTAAGTAAATGAAATAGGAAATGAAAACTTCAACTAACAATCAATACAACAAAAAATTAATTTTCTGCCGAAACCAGTTTGGCTCAGTGGATAGAGCGTCGGTCTGCGGACTGAAAGGTCCCAGGTTCGATTCCAGTCAAGGGCATGTACATTGGTTGCGGGCACATCCCCGGTAGGGGGTGTGCAGGAGGCAGCTGGTCGATGTTTCTCTCATCGATGTTTCTAGCTTTCTATCTCCCTCCCTTTCACTCTGTGGAAAATCAATAAAATGTATATATTTTTAAAATTAATTTTCTATAAGACCAGCAGAATGGACAAATCTCTTAAATCTGAAAAAAGTGTTTTTTTAGAAATGGGGAATTTTATTTATAAACTTGAAGATACCATGAAACGGTTGATTCCTGAAGAAACTAAATTATTAAAATTGATTCAAGAATAGCTTTGAAATAACATAAGTATTACTATGTATCTTTTATTGAAAAGGAATATGGAACTCAGAGGCTAAATAATTTGCTCAAGGCCACAAAGCCAATAATTGTCAAACAGTTTATGGGGTTTTAAGCTCTTTCTTCCTTACCAGTTGTTCTCAACTGGGGGCAATTTTGTAACCCTCCTTGGGAATACTTGACAATGTCTGCAGACATTTTGGTTGTTACTATCACTGGCTTTCCTGCAATGCACAGGTCACCCAACCTCTCACAGCAAAGACTTATCCAGCCCCTAAAGTCAACAGTGCTGAAATTGAGAAACCATACTCTAGTCTACACCATGAATACAAAGTTAATTAAGTCACAGGTCGAATCTAATTCTCAGGATTTACTAAAATGTCATTAACAGAATGACATTGTTTTTAATGCAATGATCAGTTTAAGAAAAATTTATTGAGTCTAGAGAGAGAGAAAGAAAGGGAGAAAGAAAGACAGAGAAAGAGCGAGGGAGAGAAAAAGAGAAATCAACTTATTGTCCCACTTATTTTATGGATTCACTGGTTGCTTCTTGTATGTGCCGTCGGGGGATCGAACCTGCAAACTTGGTAAATCAGAATGCCAAGTTTAACCACTCTAACCAACTGGCCAGGGCTCATTAACAGAATATTGTACTTTTTATTTCTTAGAACCACATACATCACACAGCATATAAAGATTAACCATTCACTACATCACAATCAAGAACTGCTACCCGTTTTCAGATATATCACCATAAGTGGTTCTTCTAGAAACATTTCATGATTTGGGTAGGAGAGTCACAAATGCCTCCTCTTTCCTTCTCTTCCTCTGTTAACATCTGATTTTTATTTAGATAAATTCAGTTAATAATGAGCTTAAGTTTTCTTGGCAATAGCTTGACATTCTAACTTCTTCGGATGATCTCAAAATATTTTTTTAAAAAATGAAAATCTATCTAATAAAATTCTCCGTTTTCCTATTCATCACATTTTTTACATGTAAGACAAAGACACATTAGAAGGTAACAGCGTTCTGACCTTTAACTTTGAAACCAATTGTAGGTTGCCTGGGTTTAAGCTGTCACAAGCAGGAACGTCTGCTAATTCAGTCTGTAGAAACAAAAGTCACACCATTAATCTACACTTTATGTACGACATCTGCTGCACCACTCACTCATCAAAATGCCTACTTCTCATGGCAAACTGCTTCACTGATGACAAAGCCATTAAACACATTTTAAAATTAACTTTAATTCCCCCAGAATGAGCTTAAAAGTTTACAGTGATGTCTTATCAAGGAAACATCAAAGCATTCTTAAACAGAGGAGCCAATGTGTGCAGAAGTCACTGAGGTGTTCCATTCCTTCAGAGAAAGTGTCACAAAGGAAGCAGATTGTACCTGTTCGATGGAATGTTTCCATGAGTCAAGGCACGTGCTTGCACAGAGCGGATTTTCTTTGGAAGCGCATGACTCAGTGGCGAAAGGTGTCGCTTGGGGGCCAGAATCATAGTCACAGTCAGGCTGTCCCTTTCTTCCTGTCACACGCAGGCTGCCATCTAATTTTGGTTGGCTGGTGCAACTGTGTCCTTGCTTACTATCCCTGGCTTTCCCAGGAGAAAGCTGGGGTGAAGTCAGTTCAACAACCTCCGCAGACACTTTGTCAGAGGGTGTTGGGGAGCCAAGCGCGGGGGTAGTGCCTAAGACGGGGAAAGCGGGGGAGCACACATCCGCTGTGGGTCTGCCATCACCATCAGGTGTAACAGTATTTGCCGGAGTGAAGAGTAATGCGGGCGAGGAAAGGCCCTTATGCGCAGGCTGGCTTTTTCCCATTGGCATTTCAGGGGGTGCTTTTCCTGGTAGAACAATCAGTTCCTCTCCTGAGTCCTCCATTTCCATGTGGATTGGCTTAGGAATCAGTTCCTCCAAAACAAGATCATTTCCCTCTTTCAGATGCCTCTCTCCATACACGTTTGATCTGAAAGGCTCAATCAGTTTTTCTGAGCAGAACTTCAGTTTTTCAAGCTTAAGAGACCCAAAGTCTTCATCAGGTAACTGAAAGTCTGTGATTTTGAGAAAAGACGACAGTTGCTTTAAAGTTGGCATTTCATTCTTATGAGACGGAGCACTGGAAGCATTACCGCCCAAAGTTAAATAAGCATTATTAATGGAAAAGGAGTCCTCTTTTTGGCAGTGACTTTCCTTCCCTAAAATAGAAAGGAACAACAATAACAAATACCCAACAAGAGACATTAACCTCCCCAGAAACAGTGCACTTCTAAACTCCAACAGGATATAACAGGTTCATCTCTTTTCCCCTCCATGAGCCTCAAACCTCAGAGAACCGTTCAACAATCAGCCACAGGTTTGTGGTTAACTGGCAGCTCTCCTTGTACAGTTGCCGACAGCTTTAGTAGCACTTGTTGTGCTACTTTGGGCAAGTCAATGCACCTCATCTTCCCTGGTCAGAAAGGAAGTGGGCTAAGAATCTCTAAAGTCCTTTCTGCTCTAGAACTATGATTCCAACAAACTATCAGAATGCAGTCTACAAAATGCTGGCTCTTCTCACTGAAGAATACTTAGTCCCCTTTTCCAGCAAAGAGTTATTTTTTTAAAGTATATTTTATTGATTTTTTACAGAAAGGAAGAGGGACAGAGAGTTAGAAACATCAATGAGAGAGAATCATTGATGAGCTGCCTCTTGCACACCCCCTACTGGGGATGTGCCCACAACCAAGGTACATGCCCTTGACTGGAATTGAACCCAGGACCTTTCAGTCCACAGACCGACGCTCTATCCACTGAGCCAAACCGGTCTTGGCCAGCAAAGAGTTATTTACTACTAGAGGACTGGTGCATGACATTAGTGTACTGGGAGGTTGTGGGGTGTCCCTCAGACTGGCCTGCACCCTTTTGCAGTCCAGGACCCCCTGGGGGATGTCCACCTGCCACCACCACCTCTGTGCTTGCCAGCCAGAAGCTGGGCTCACACCTTAGCGCTGCCTCGGAGGCAGGCAAGGTTCCCACCATGGCCGCTGCGCTTGCCCACCGTGAGTCCGGCTCTGGCTGAGCAGTGCTCCCCCTGTGGGAGTGCACTGACCACCAGGGGGCAGCTCCTGCATTGAGCACCTGTCCCCTGGTGGCCAGTGCGTGCCATAGTGAGGGGTTATTCCACCATTTGGCCGATTTGCATGTTAGGATTTTATTATATAGGGTTCTTAGCGACTGGAATTTTTCTATACCATTCAAAATGCAGCTGCATCCATTACCTAATAAATGAATGTTAGTACATATATATACAATGGATTATTCAGCCATTAAAAAAAGAATGAAGTACTGATACATGCTAGAACATGTGAAAGCAGCCGGACATAAGAGATCGCACATTGTATAATACATTGACATGAAATAAGTAAATCCATACAGAATAGATTGGTAGTTGCCAAAGGCTAGGCAAGAAGGAATGACCATCAAATGCTTAGTGGGTAAAGAGTTTCCATGTTAGGTGATGAAAATGTTTTGGAACTAGGTAGGGATTATGGTTGGATGTTGTAAATGTACTAAATGTCACTGAATTATTCATATATGAAGGTCACTTAAAAATTTTTTTTTTAATGTAGCTGCAGGTTACTAAAACAGATTATGTCAACATATACAAAAGAAAGTTTCTAGTTTATTATATTGCCCTACTTTCTATTCCTTTGTATTCTTATTGACTTAGAAGATAATACATCACAATGACTCTTATTTTTAACTAGAGACCCAGTGCAGGAATTTGTGCACAGGTGCGGCCCCTCAGCCTGGCCAGAGATCGGGGCAGCGGGAGGCTGGCTGTGGGAGTGCACTGACCACCAGAGGCAGCTCTTGCATTGAATGTCTGGCCCCTGGTGGTCAGTGAGTGTCATAGTGACCGGTTGTTCAGTCACTTAGGCTTTTTTATATATCTATATCTACAGATATATCTATATCTATCTATCAATATATATATAAATTATAGCACACAGACCAGGGCTGAGTCCACAAAGAAAGCAGGCTTTATTTTTGTAATTAAGTGTTAACTGGAATATGGTCACATTTACATGCTGTCTGTGGCTATTTCTGCATTCTACTTGAGTAGCTCTGATAGAGCACAATTTTCTACATGCTCTGTGGAGAAAGTTTGCTGTCCTCTAGTATAGAAGCAGAGTGAATTATCCAGTTTTCATGTTCAGTTTATCAGATAGAACTCCCAAGTAAATGAATAAATATTCACTTGCTAGCTTCCAAAATCTTGTATCCCACAGAGCTCAGAGAGATTATATTGGCTATTTTACTCAGACTGATTGTATTTTATTCCACAATCATTCCTGTGAGAGTCTTTCAATGACCTCTCACTCTGACACATATCAAATTTCATTTTACTTTACAAACACTTTCTATATTAGTTATATTTCTAACCTTGGATAAAGACTATGTTGTACCTGAATACTAATTTTAAGGAAGCTTTCAATATATTTTCTCTCTGTGTCAACTTTTCCAACCAGAATAGTGAACTCTAGCATCATATGGCCAGGTCTATACCCCAGTTCTGACACTTTAATTAATTAAAGCACTTTAATCTCCTTATGCCTTAGTTTCCTCTGTAAGGTGAGGATAAAAACAGATTCTACCTCCTGTGATGATTCAATGAGTTAGTGCCTGTGACAATTAGACAGCACCAGGCACATGATAAGCATCAGAGGCCATCGTCATCCGCATCCTCCACCACACCTCGATTTACCTTGCACTTCCCTCTTACCATGAATAACTGCTTTTTCATTCTGATCTTTGTCCTTGGATCTATTAACACCTGATGTGCCAGAAGTGGGCAAAAGTAGTCCATGATGTAACGTAGGGGTGCGGATTGACTTCCTTTTCCCTCTGTGTCTTCTACCAGAGGACTGGGAAACCGAGGTCCTAGAAAAATCATCCATGGTATGCCCCGTGGGAGAGCTGACTTCAGTTAGTGAGAGAAATCTCTGAAAAGGACTTCTGGAACTTGCTTTTTCTGTATACCTGTCACACACCCTAAATTCATCTTGGTTAGTTTCTTCATTGGAAAATTTTAAATTTTTAGTAGATTCTTTATTTTTAATGCCTTTCTTTTTGACACCCAAGTGACTCTGAATTACAGCCTCCAGGGCTACTTTCCTCTGGCAATTTGACATACGTCGCGTTGTTCTTACATAATACTCTGCAGGAAAAAGGCCTCCGAGCATGGTGCAAGAATGCGCTTGATTTTCTGCAGAAACAGGAGAGGTTATTTTTGAGCCAAGACTTTTACACTGACTCAGAACCTCATTTTCCTGGAAATGTTCATTGCTACCTTCAAGAGCACTACTGGGAGGTACCGAAGCCTTCTCTGAGTGATTTTGTTTTTTTAAGTTTTGGTTTTCATTTGCTGATAAGTTATCAGCAAATTCATTTACAGAATATGCACTATCAGCCTCTAAGTCAGGACTTCTAGGCAGCTGGCCACTTGGACTTACAGTTTTATTTACCTCAGGGTTACCTGTAAAGACAGTCATTTTTTTGTCATGTGCCTCTAAGTTTACAGGTGAGGTAGAGCTAATGTTTTTTAAGCCATGAGCAGTAAGTTCACAGTTCCTTTTCGAAGGCTTATGTTGGAGGTGCTGACCACTACTGCTGTCTGATGGAGTATGCAGAGGAGGTGGGGACACCGTGGGGAAACGATTCCCTCCTAAAAGAGCATCCACACTGCTCGGTGGTTTGGCATTTGGTGGAATTAATACACTCCCTCCGTTAGTTTCTGCAATTGGTGCTTGAGGATGTGGAAGGTCAGACTGAGTTGGAAAGTTAGTTCTTATTTTAGCTACAGGTGTTTCAGGATTTTCTCTATTGATTTCTTCTTGTTCCTTTAGGTTTTTTCTAGACAGGATAAGTAGATCAGTGTCAAAGGAAGATTCTCTCTCTTGTGAAGTAAATGTTTTCTTCTGTTGCTTCTTTCTTCTCCCTGGCTGCTTACTCTGCCTTTTTTCAACATCAGGGTCACTGATACTGTAGGCAAAATGCTCTCGTATATCGTCTGTTCTCTGAACGTGTAATCCTTCCACTGGGCCATGGCCAGCGTTGGAGGACTTGGGCTCAATGTCGCCAGTTTCTTCATTGAGACGGGCGTTGACTTGTAATGCATCGTAAGAAGATACTTTAGTTTTAGGTTCTAAGGAGAAAATTTTATATAATTAATATTTTCCTTTTAAAATGAAACCAAAAATTCCCCATTTGTTTTTAAATATTACATATAAATACTATATTACTTTAAAATATTATATAAATATTTACTTAAGAGTTGATGTATTTCATTCAAGCAAATCAAAGTTAGTTCAAATATTTCATAATCTATTCATAATAATTTTAAATAAATGTAAACAATTATGCTAGAAAGAATGACTTTTAAACTAGAAGATTATCTATTTTTATTGAAGTCATTTTTTTCTTAGTTGTCTTGCAGCTTTACTGAGGTACAACTGATAAAAACTATACAAATATAAGGTGTACCTGTGATATTTTGATATGTGTATACACTGTAAAGTGTTACCATAACCAAGTTAATTAACATATCCATCAATTCACACAGTTACATATCTCTCAAGTACACAATATGCATGCACAATTCATTATTAGCACCATGCTGTACATTAGATCTCCAGAATTTATTCATTCTGTGTAACTGAAACTCCCTACCCTTTACCAATATCTCCCCATTTCCCCATACCTCACTTAATTTATTTCATGTTTTTTTTGGCTCAAGAAATTTCTTAAAAAATACATTTTTATTGATTTTAGAGACAGAGAGCAAAGAAGGGAAGAGACAAATATTGATATGAGAGAGAAACATTGATCCATTGCATTCTGTATGCGCCCTGCCTGGGAATCAAATCTGCAATCTGTGTGTGTATCTTATCTGGGGATGGAACCAGTGACCTTTCGGTGCACGGGACAATGCTCAACCAACGGAGCCACACTGGCCAAGGCTCAAGTAATTTTAAAACCTCATTCCTATTTCAATAGCCTCCAATTTTATGATTATAAATGACCTAATTATTAACATGAGAAATGACCATTGTTTTAATATGTTTTTATTGATTTCAGAGAGGAAGGGAGAAGGACAAAGAGAAGCATCAATGATGAAAGAGAATCATTGATCGGCTGCTTCATGGATGCCCATTACTGGAGATCAAGCCTGCAACCTTGACTGGAATGGAACCCGGGACCCTTCAGTCAGCAGGTTGACATTCTAGTCACTGAGCCAAACCAGCTAGGGCATGACCATTGTTTTTTAGAGTATTTCCAGCCAGACACTTTTCTCTGTACATATGCAAAAACTTAATTTTAAAATCTTTCCAGCCCTACTGTCATGGCTCAGTGGTTGAGTATCGACCTATGAACCAAAGAAGTCATGATGTGATTCCCAGTCAGGGCACATGTGCAGGTTGTGGGCTCAATTCCCAGTGTGGGGTGTGCAGGAGGCAGCCTATCAATGATTCTTTCTTGTCATTGATGTTTCTCTCTCTTTATCCCTCTCCCTTCCTCTCTGAAATCAATAAAAATATATTCTAAAAAAATCTTTCCAATAATTAAGCATTAAGTGTAATTACTAAAAGTTAAGAGGGAAAAAGAGCACTAAATAAACAACCCAACTGAAAGCATAGTTTATTATTCATAGAATGAGAGAAAGTATTTATAGGTCATGCATCTAATAAGGGTCAAATAGCAACCATACGAGGACCCTTACAACCCCAGAATTAAAAAACAAATAACCTAACTAAAATATTGGCAAAGGACTTGAATAGACATTTCTCTAAAGACAGTCAAATGGTCTCTAAACACATGAAAAGATGCTCAACATCATTAGTCACTGAGAAATGCAGATTAAAACCAAACTTAGATACCACTTCACATCCTCCAGGATGGTTATAATTTTAAAATGGCAATTTTTTTTAAAATATATTTTATTGATTTTGTACAGAGAGGAAGAGAGAGAGATAGAGAGTTAGAAACATCGATGAGACAGAGTCATCGATCAGCTGCCTCTTGCACACCCCCTACTGGGGATATGCCCGCAACCAAGGTACATGCCCTTGACCGGAATTGAACCCGGGACCCTTCAGTCCCCAAGCCGACGCTCTATCCATTGAGCCAAACCGGTCCCGGCTAAAATGACAAATTATAAGTACTGGCGAGGATGTGGAGAAATTGGAATCCTTACACACATTGTAGCGGGATACAAAATGGTGCAGCTGCTATAGGGAAGTTTGGCATTTTCTCAGGAAGTTAAACATAGCCCTGGCTGGTTAGCTTAGTTGGTTAGAGTATTGTCCTGATAAGCCAAGATTGCACGTTGAATCCTCAGTCAGGGTACATACAATAAATCAATCAATGAATGCATAAATAAGTGGAACAACAAATCCACACTTCTTTCTCTAAAAGTCAATTAAAAAAAAAAAGTTAAATGTGGAATTACCATATGACCCAGCAATTCCATGCCTAGGCATATACAGAAAATAATTGGAAACAAGTATCTATACAAATGTTTGTATATGAATATTCATGGTAGCTTAATAACCCAAATTCATACTAGCCAAAAAGCAGATACAACCCAAATGTCCATCAATTGATGAATAGATATGCAAATGATGTTACTTTGCCCTGGCTGGTTTTGCTCAATGGTTAGAGCACTGGCTCATAGACTAAAGGGTCATGGGTTCCATTCCAGTCAAGGGCACGTACCTCAGTTCCGAGCTTGATCCCTGGCCCTAGTCAGGGCGCAAGTCTCTCTCACATCAATATTTCTCTCTCTCTGCCTCTCCCCCTCCCTTCTACTTGCTCTAAAAATCAATGAGGAAAAAATGCCCTCTGGTGAGGATTAACAAATGATGGTACACCTGTACAATGGAACGTTATTCAGCTGCAAAGGGGGATGGGTAATGATGCAAGCCTGGGTGTATGTATGTTGGGGTGAATGGCCCCTGAAAACATAATGCTAAGTAAAAGAAGCCAGTCCCAAAAGGCCACCCGTTGTATGATTCCACTTACACGAATTGTCCAGAAAAGGTTAATCCACAGGGACGGAAAGTAGATCTGTGGTCTGCAGGGGTTAGGGGCGGGATGGTAAGGGGTTTCTTTTTGGGAATGGTGAAAATGTTCTAGAAATAGTGATGATGTCTGCATGCTCTTTTGAATATATATAAACAACCATCCAATTGTGCACTTTAAAGAGTCCATTGCATCCTCAAGAGGAGAAGAACCACAGCAAATACACCAGGAAAGTGAATAATAAAGCAAGCATAAGTGAGTGGTTAGCTTTACCTGAGTGGTTTAGCTGTGGTGAAACTTCTGGCTGGAGCAAATAATCTTGTTCTTTCACTGTTTTCTTAATAAAATTCTTAACCTTCTCAGCTCTTTGGGCCCGCTAGAGAAAGCAAAAGCAGCTCAAGGAACAAATTTAAGGGCAAATTATTTTTTTTTAACTCTTGATTATGATAAAGAATTGTTCATAGTTTGTACTACAATACCTCAATTTAAGAGAATAAGATTCACTTACCTGAAGACGGGCCAGAGTCTTGCTATATTCTCTTTTTAAGAATGCTAATTTTTCCTTCAACTGAAAGAAAAACACCAGACAATTCTGAGCAGTGGAAAGAGAGGGGCACAGTGCCTACCAGACATGAGTGTGCCATGCTCAGCTGGTCCCTCAGCCAGAGGCAGTGGAGGGCACTCGCCCTCACTCTCACTTCTCACAAAGCACCAGCCCTCTACTGTCTCAGACCTCTGCACAGCTGCTTGCTCTCACCTGCATTTCCTCCCCAACTCACTCTGCTGATTCCTGCCTATTCCACTTGCCTCAGCTTAGATTTTTATTGCCCTGGAACAGACCTCTAGGCTCTTTTTCAATCCAGGTAGACAGTACACTTCTCCTCTGTGCTTCCTTTATCATGGTATTTATTTCTCTGTTATCTGTTTACCTCTGTTCCCCCAGACCTCATTCTCACGAGAGAACCTCCAAAGCAGCGAGATCTGTCACACTTGCCCTGGCCCATTTGGCTCAGTGGATAGAGCTTTGGCCCTCGGATTGAAGGGTCTCGGGCTCAGTTCCGATCAAGGGCACGTACCTCTCAGTTGCAGGCCTGTTCCCCAGCCCCATCTGGGGCGTGTGCAGGAGGCAACCATTTAATGCCTCTCTCACATCAATGTTTCTGTTTCTCCCCCTCCCTTCCATTTGCTCTAAAAATCAATGGGGAAAAATATCCTAAGGTGAGAATTAACAACAAAGAACTGTCACCCTCAGATATTCACTTGGAGAATGGAATCTCTTATTTGTCAATTATTGGTCCAGGTATCTCTACCACCTGGGGACAATAGCTGCATTAGTTCCTAAGGCATCAGCTGTTGTTCCAGGTGCTAGACATACAGCGTGGCCAAGCTTATAGTGAACGATGCAGACAATAAGCAGAAAACAAATAAACATGATTTCACATGATAATCAATATCTAGGCAAACAGGGAGCTCCTGAGTTGTGGAAATGGACTGCTTTAGATAGGGTGGCCAGGGATCATTTCTAAGGACCATCATTTGACCCTAGACCTGAGGAGGAAGGAGCTGGCAAGGGAAGATCAGAGGGAAAGCAGTTTGTCTAAGATCACAGTTTATAAACGGTATGTAATTCAAACCCATGCAGTCCAGCTCTAGTTTGTGCTCTTAAATCTATGCCAGACTGCTCCTTTCAAAGTCCTATCAGTCACCAGGCTTATCAATTATCTGGGAATTATCTTGACTTGTAAATGCGATTCTCACCCCCACTGGAAAGTAGGCAGGGCCCTGGCTGGTGTGGCTCAGTTGGTTGGGGCGTCACCATACCCCAAAAGGTGATGGGTTCAATTCCCTGTCACAGCAGATTCCATCCCCGGGTGCCTGTGGGAGGCAACTGATCATTCTCTCTCTCTCTCTCCTTCCTTTCTCCGATATTAAAAAGAGAAAAGAAAAATAGGTCACGGTAAGAGGACTGACAAGTTAATGTGAATGAAGAGTGTAGCACAAAGCTTGAACAGCCACCACAAGATACATTCTAGCTAATATCAGCATAAACACAAGTTGGCATAGTACAGATGGCTAGAGCAACACTGTTACTGTTGTAGAAGCCAAGCAGGAGCCACCTAGTAAGTCCCTCCGCAGAGTAATAGCTAAAGATGGCACTTCCACACTACAGTATTCTACTCAGAACCTGAAGAATTGGGTGGATAAACATGTACTAACACGGATGTCAGTCATGGAGAAGGAAAACGAAAGCTGCAGAACCATCCTGATTGTACCATGTATGAGCTTTCTCCTTTCCAAAAACTACATACCGTTTTTGGTGGTGAGAGACAAGGGCGCCTCCGCCAGCCCAGGCCGGGGTTGTGAAGCTACGGCTGAGAATGTGGGGCAGCGGGAGGGTGTGGATGGGGACTTGAGCTTTGTCAAGTTTTTTTTTTAAATATATATTTTATTGATTTTGTACAGAGAAGAAGGGAGAGAGATAGAGAGTTAGAAACATCGATGAGAGATAGACATCGACCAGCTGCCTCTTTGCACACTCACTACTGGGGATGTGCCCGCAACCAAGGTACATGCCCTTGACCGGAATCGAACCCGGGACCTTTCAGTCCCCAAGCCGACGCTCTATCCATTGATCCAAACCGGTCTTGGCAGAGCTTTGTCTAGTTTTACATTTTGTATTTATGTTAGTGCTGCAAGGAAAAAAAAGTGTGTTTAGATGCCACCAGGCGAGTACAGCCTCTCCCACACTTCCTCTCCCGGGGCAGCGCGAGTCCAAGGAGCGCGGACCAAGTTCTGCACGGCGCGGACCGACCCACAATCCTGGCGGAGGGGTCAGAGTTGGAGCCAGCCCTTCCCGCACCCCCGCACCTTTTCCTTCTCCTCAAAACTGAGGGGCTTCCCAGAAGGTTCTTCCATCGGGCCGGCGGACGAACGGGAGGAGCAGCCGTCGCCGGCCCCGGGAATGCGGACTCGGGATTCCCGTGGGCCGAGCCCCGCCACCACCCGGGAAGGAATGGGGCGCCCGGGGCGTCCGCAGCGCGCGACCAGCGAGCTCCCGCGCGCCCTCCACCCGGCCAATGGCGGCCCGCGCTGGGTGCGCACGCGCAGCCGGGACTGCTGAGGCGGGGCGGGGCCGCCTCGCGGGGGCGGGGCTGGGAATGAGGCCCGAGGCAGCCTGGGAGCGGAAGTGCAGCGCTCGCCGGAAGTTCCGGCACCCCGGCGGACCGAGCGGCTGACAGGCTTTGACTGCAGCCCGAGCTGCTGAGAGGACTAGGTGGCCATGGAGTTGGGCGAGCTGCTCTACAACAAGTCTGAGTACATCGAGACGGTGCGCGGTGGCCACGCATCGGCGCTTCCCTTTCCAGGCCTGGGTCCCTTTGGGGCCTGTGCCCCATCTTGTCCCTGCCCCACCCGCGTCCCTGTGGCTGTATGGGCGTGTATAGGTCTGGCCTTATTTATTCCTTAAATGGCCAGTTTAGGCGTTTTCATTGAATCTCGATTTCCTCGTAGAGATAAAGTGCTTTCTAGAAAGCAGGACATGTCTTGTCCATCCTAATATAATTACAGCTCCAGACTTCGGGCTTTTAAAAAACGAACCTGTCATCATTGATTATTCTGTGCTAAAGACTGGTTCTTTAGCACATATATGATGTCAATATATGATGTGTGTAAATTGTTCAGTCAATGTTACTACCATAATTTTGCTTTTCATTGAATTCTCACAACTATGTGATACTGGTGAAGCCGTTAACCTGGGGCTAGAGCTTTAAAATTGGGGTATAGAATTGGAACTTGAATCAATATCTCTGATGCCACTAGGCTATAGACAGACATATCACATCGAAATTCTGGATCTATTCCTTGAATCTCTATATTTCCTAATCCACCCTTGCTTTATTAAAAATTTGGACTCATTCCTTTGTAGACTACACCCTATATTCAAGTCTTTCTTTCTTGATGGAAACCTATAGCTCAAAACCCACTCAGCTTGCTCCCTCTCATGTCCTGCTGTTTCTTTTCAGGCATCTGGGAACAAAGTTAGTCGCCAGTCAGTGTTGTGCGGAAGTCAGAACATTGTTCTCAATGGCAAGGTAAGGGACAAAGCCATCTCCTGGATGCGTACCTTTGCTTTCTTTTCACAAATTATTACTTCAGCAGGGCAGATAAAATGTTGCCACATCTCCCATTTATTGCTGTATATCTAAAAACTAGAGGCCCAGTGCATGGAATTCATGCACAGGTGGGGTTCTTAGGTCTGGCCAGCGATCAGGGCCAATTGGGTCTAGACTAGGGGTGTCGAACTCAATCAGAGAAGGGGCCAAAATCTAAAATCCAGCCTAAATCGCGGGCCGAATGGTTTACTGAACAGTCATAAACTGTCATTGTGATGGAAACGCAGCGGAGTGCAGTGATGACAGCGCGGTGCGGGCCACATTGCAAGGCCTGGCGGGACGGATTTGGCCCGCGGGCCTTGTGTTTGACACATGTGGTCTAGACCAATCAGGGGCCAGCTGGAGAGGAGGTGATGGCCATGAGGCTGGGCATGGAAGGAATGGATGCTGGACACTGATGCCGCGATGGTCGGTGACCCGCTGCCATGTCGTTCCCTACCTCCACCCCCTTTCCCTCGCCTCTGCACCACCACGGTAGATGGGCAGTGGGCCAATCAGGGCCTGCTGGCCAGGGGGAGGGACAGGGCATGGGAGGCTGGCCATCAGCCCTGAGGAGGGAGCTCGCCCTCATCCCCCCTGAGAAAGAGGCCGTGCCCACTGCCGCCTATACTGGTTCTCTGTTCCAGCCCAGGGGCCATGGGAGGTTGGCCAGCCAGGGGAGGTTGGCTTTGGGAGTGCCCTGACCACCAGGGGCAGCTCCTACTTTGAGCGACTGCCCCCTGGTGAACAGTGCACGTCCTAGCAACCTGTCGTTCTGGTTCCTTAGGTTTTATTTATATATATATATATATATATATATATATATATATATATATATATATATATATATATAATTTTCTCTTTTTCAATTTTCCAGATTGAATTTATTAAATACAAAAGGGGTTCAATAAAAGGAAGCAACAGAAAGCCTTTTATGCCAGGAACATAATACAATGGCATCCACAACTGAAATTATTATCCAGTATTGAAATACTGGACACAAACCATAAATATATAACAAAATGTTTAGTGTAGAAACTAAAGTAATACGTATTTATCTGTTTGATAAAAAATATTGAATCAGTACTAACTGAAACACTTAGACTTAATGTGAGAATTTGTAAAGAGTATACAATTTGAGACCAGTTTGTAAAATGGAATATGAAAAGTTCAAAATCTTTAGTCTGAATAAATTAAAATAGCAGAGAGATAAATATAAACTTGAAGATAGCTCTAGCCAACTTGACTCAGTGGAAGGGTCCTGGGTTCAATTCTGGTCAAGGGCACATACCTTGATTACAGGCTCCCTCCCTGACCGGGGCCCTGTCTTCCTCTCTGTCTTCTACTCCCTCTAAAAATCAATGGAAAAATATCTTCGGGATACAATTTTAAAAATTTAAAAATAAACTTGAAAGTAATATTAGAACATTTTAGAACCATAGAAAATATCAAGATATATTTGAGACTAATAATCATTGAAGTCTGTGTCTCCTGCCACCTGGAATACTAAATTTTCCTTGAAATGTTAAACCTCTAATCTCCAGAGGGAAAATAGTCTAACTGTAATCAAGAGGTCACAAATATTCTCAATAAAGATATAATTTCTATCTCCATTAGCCCATAATATCCACTGGAGATTTAATGGAAAGGAAAATAGTTCAGTAAATAGATATAATTAGTAATTATAGATACACTGTTTAGCACAGAAATAGGAAATTCCATTAACTTCATCTGCCTCATTTGGAAATTCATCAACTAATTATAAAACATTTTCTGTGCTCAGCTCCCATAGCTCAATGATTGAGCATTGACTTATGAACCAGGAAGTTACAGTTCCATTTCCAGTCAGGGCACATGCCTGAATTGTGGGCTCAATCTCAATAGCTGTTCTCAGTTTTTTTAAATATATGTGTGTGTGTATATATATATATATATATATATATATATATATATATATATCTAGGAATCAGATTGCTGGGTCATGTGGTAATTCTTTTATTATTTATTTATTTATTTATTTATTTTTAAATTTAATGAAATCTTTATTGTTTAGATTATTACAATAGTTTTCCTTTATCCCCTTCTTGCTCCCCTACACCCGGTTCCCACCCCACCCTCTGCCCTTACCTTCCCCACACTGTCCTCATCCATAGGTGTACATTTTTTTATCCAGTCTTTTCCTGCACTCTCCATACCCCTTTATCCCTGAGAATTATCAGTCCACTCCCTTTCTATGCCCCTGATTTTATTATATTCACCAATTTATTCTCATCAGATTTTTAATAAAATATCTATATTTTATTGATTTTTTTTACAGAGAGGAAGGGAGAGAGATAGATAGCTAGACACGTCAATGATAGAGAAACATCGACCAGCTGCCTCTTGCACACACCCTACCGGGGATGTGCCCGCAACCAACTTACATGCCCTTGACCAGAATCGAACCTGGGACCTTTCAGTCCGCAGACTGACCCTCTACCACTGAGCCAAACAGGTTTCGGCTGCTCATCAGATTTTTAATTCACTTGATTTTTACGTTCACTTGTTAATAGATATGTATTTGTTGTTCATAATTTTTATCTTTACTTTTTTCTTCTTCCTTTTCTTAAAGAATACCTTTCAGCATTTCATATAATATTGGTTTGGTGCCAAAAGCGGTTTGGCTTAGTGGATAGAGCATCGGTCTGCGGACTGAAAGGTCCCAGGTTTGGTTCTAGGCAAGGGCACGTACATTAGTTGCGGGCACATCCCCGGTGGGGGTGTGCAGGAGGCAGCTGGTTGGTGTTTCTCTCTCATCAGTGTTTCCAGATCTCTAACCCTCTCCCTTCCTCTGTGTGAAAATTCAATAAATAAATTAAAAATATATATATATTGGTTTGGTGATGATGAATTCCTTTAGCTTCTTCTTGTCTGTGAAGCTTTTTATCTGACCTTCAATTCTTTATTTATTTAATAAATCTTTATTGTTCAGATTATTACAGTTGTTCCTCTTTTTCCCCCCTATCTCCCCTCCACCAGGTTCCTATCCCACCCTCTCCCCTTATACCCCCCATTGTCCTCATCTGTAGGTATATAATTTTTGTTCATTCTCTTCCTGCACCCCCACTCCCCTTTCCCTCGAGAATTGTCAGTCCACTCCCTTTCTATGCCCCTGATTCTATTATATTCACCAGTTAATACTGTTCATCAGATTTTTTATTCCCTTGGTTTTTAGATTCACTTGTTGATAGATACGTATTTGTTGATCATAATTTTTATCTTTTTCTTCTTCCTCTTTTTAAAGAATATCTTTCAGTATTTCATATAATTCTGGTTTAGCAGTGCTGAACTCCTTTATCTTTTTTTTTTTTTCTGTGACGCTCTTTATCTGATCTTAATTCTAAATGATGGCTTTGCTGGGTACGGTAATCTTGGTTGTAGTTTTTTTTTTTTTTTTTTTTAAATAGACTTTATTTTTTAAAGCAATTTTACATTTACAGAGAACTTAAGATAGTACAGAGCTGTCATGTACCTGGCATCAGTTTCACCAATTACTACCATCCTACAGTGGTATGGTGTATTTGTTACATTTAACAAACCAATATTAATAAATTGTTATTAACTAAAATCTGTATTTGCATTTCAATTATAATTACATAGTCAAAACAAAACTCCTAATTTTGCTAGAAACCTACAAACTCAAATATATGTTGAAAATACCGTACATCAGAGTAATTGCCTATACAACTATGAGATAGGAAGTAAGAAATGTGACTAAAAGGGAATAAACAAATTTTGTGAGAGCTGTTCAGGAGCAGATAGCTGGTTATAAACTGAAAAGTACAACGAACGAACTCAGGTATATTAAAAAAGGAAGAGGCTGAAGTGAGAATGACTTTGGGTAAAGGACTGTCATACTATTTAGCTGTTAAGTCCCACAGGAAAAGAGAATGAAATTTAAGTTATGAATTATTAGTGGGCATGTTCATTTCCCCTATCGCCCCACCCCCTCCCCCATGCTGCATTATCTTTAAGTGAAAGATTCTTCTAATGTCACGTCAGCTCATTTCACCAACTGTTTGGCCGCCAACCTCTTATCTCTCTCTTCAGCAATGGTGAGGCGAATACCCTTTCCATGGGGAAGGGAAATCCACGGTTTGTTGCCTTTGCCGATGACAAAAATGTTGGAGAGCCGGGTGGCAAAGCTATTGCCAGTGGTATCTTTGACGTGAACTACGTCAAAAGAACCAGGGTGCTTCTCTCTGTTGGTGATCACACCAATTCTTCCCAGGTTGGCACCTCCGGTGATCATACATAGGTTACCGGTGTCAAACTTGATGAAATCGGTGATTTTGCCAGATTCCAGATCAATCTGAATGGTGTCGTTCACCTTGATGAGGGGATCAGGGTAGCGAATGGTAGGAGCATCATGAGTCACCAGGTGAGGGATTCCCTTGGTGCCCACAAAGATCTTCCTCACTTTGCACAGCTTGTACTTGGCCTCCTCAGGTGTGATACGATGAACGGCAAAGCGGCCCTTGGTGTCATAGACCAGACGGAAATTCTCTCCCGTCTTATCAATGCTGATGACATCCATAAAACCAGCAGGGTAGGTCACGTCGGTTCGGACCTTGCCATCGATCTTAATGAACCGCTGCATGCAGATCTTCTTTACTTCATCTCCTGTAAGGGCATACTTAAGTCTGTTTCTCAGGAAAATGATGAGAGGGCGACACTCTCTCAGCTTGTGGGGACCGGTAGATGGACGAGGAGCAAACACACCGGTCAGTTTATCCAGCATCCAGTGCTTTGGAGCTGCTACACGCTTCAGATGCTTCTTGGGACCACGAGCCATGGCTGCACTAGGTACGGAGAGAGGGTTCTCTTCTTGCTAGTAAAGACGAAGTTTGTGAAAGGAAAGTAGTCACCCGCCGCGCCTCAGTCTCCGACGCAATGTGGTG